CCCGGGGAGCTCCAGGGCAGCTCCTGCAGACTGAGTCCTGTTCCACAAAATAGGCCATCCCCTCCCCACCCAGCTGGCAGCCAGTGGCCCAGGCTCAAGAGGACAGCCGGTTCCAAGGCTGAGCCACCACACGCAGCTGCACGTGGGGACACTGTTCCTTCCAGCAGTGGCCACGCCAGCCGGGATTCGACGCCCAGCGACGGCAGCCGCACTGAAGCCAATCAGAAGACTGGGGAGACAGGGCAGGGCCTGGAGCAGACAGGGAAGCCGAGGCCACTGCCAGGGGAGGTCCCCACGTCCCTGAGAAAGTATGACAGCACCTCCCTCCCCACTCTCTGCGGCTTGGCCATCAGAGCCACATCACATGGGGGCTAAGACATGAAAGGGCTGCCTGGGGCTCCCGGGAGAGGAGGGTGGGCAGGCACCCCGCGGGAGGGTGGGAGCCGCCTGGCTTCCATTAACAGCTGGAGCTGGAGCAACCATCCAAACAAAGGTGCAAGCTGGGGGGCCGTCTCGGCCCTCCCACCGCAGGCGCCTCTAGGAGTGGACTTGGCCTGGGGGAACCCACTGAGGGGGAAGGACTGAGGCTTAAATGTTCTCCTCTCTGCAGCCACAGCCAGCAGCACCTCCCCGCCCCCGTGAGGTTGCAGGGGCGCTTTCTGGCCCGCCCCGCCAGCCAGGGCCCCAGACCCAGACACTCACGCAGACACTCGTTGGCGGCTTCCGCCGTGCCCCGGGCCCACGGGCGGTCCTGGAAGAAGGGCAGGCAGCGCTCGCAGTCCGTGCCTGTGGTGTTATGCTGGCACCGGCAGGCCAGCCGCCCCAGGCTGTCGGGTGCGCACTCGCTGGCATGGCCGTGGCACTTGCACCTGGCAGAGAGCAGGGCAGAGGGGACTGGAGTCTGGGTGGGAGAAGCGCCAGCAGACAAGTGCGTAACCTCCAGGGAGCCCCGGCACAGGCGTGAACCTGGTGCCACCGCGGGTGCAGGCCCAGCTCTGGCACACTGGCTGTCGCAAGCGCTGAGCACGAGTGAACCCGTGTCACCTTCTTCAGCCCCGTTTACCCGGTGGAGGAGCTGAGCTCCCGGGGCTGCCCAAGGCCACCAGTTAGTAAATGACTCCTGCCACAGAGGAGCACCGCCTGGGGTCAAGAGGAACGCAGGGCTGCAGGGGAGGGCAGGCCCTGGTCGCAGGGGGTACTGTGTGCGGACCAGGGAGACGGCCTCCTGCAGTTCTCCTCAACTGCGTCTAGCAGGGCAAGAAGGAGGTTGCCCTGCTCAGGGGACAGCTCCAGACTCATCCCAAGTCCCTAACAAGTCTGTCTTCGAGGGGCCCACGTCCCCAGGCCACCAGCAGGACAGGAGACAGGTGGAATGGTGCAGGAGCACATGGGTGCTCTGGGGGCCACGCTGTGTGCTTGGCAGAACCAGACCCCATGCAGCCGCCATCCCTGTCCCCAGGGGCCAGACAGAGCCACTTGGAGGACAGCCATGGCTTCCAGCCCCCAGCTTCTCCCGTGTCAGCCCTGGACCCAACGATTAGCTCAGCTTCTTGCTGGAGTCTCACCGACGAGGTGAGAGGGACCTCAGTGCCCCGACTCCACAGGCGAGGGAACAGGCTCGGGCCTCAGAAGTGACAGGGGCCGAGTGGCAGAGCCTGAAGCTAAGCCCACCCTCTGCACCAATGCGCAGGCCCTGAGCTCCCGGACCGGCCTCGATGGCCACAGGGTGGCTGCCACGTGTTCCAACCACCCCCAGCAGCACTAATGAGTCTCCTCGGCCTGTGGCCAGGCCCCGGTGCTTTCTTCCACTGGTAACAGGCAGAGGACGCTGCTTCCTTGTGGGGTCCAGTGCAGGCGGCCAACACCCCACCTCTTCTGGCAGGAGTGGGGCGGGCACTGGGCAGTCTTGGAGACACTGGTCCCCAGGGAAATGGCGAGGTGCTTGGGGGGGCAGCAAATACCTCCCATCCCTGTGAAGGCGAGGGGAGGGTGAGGCCCTGGGGCCATCGTGGGCTGCAGGCTGCTGGGGCCACCTGCCCCCTGTGAGCAGCCAGCCCCAGCTGCCTGCCAGTCTGAGGGTGGTCTGTCTCGGCAGCTGGGGTCCAGATGTTCCCTGGCCCAAAGCCCCCCAACACCAGGGGCTGGCCTTGTAGTCTCCCATTCTGGAGAGCCCCCTCCAAGGAAGTTCGACCGAGACTCCTGTGTGGCCTGGAAGGGGCAGAGGGCTCCTCGACACCCCCCGGCCCTTCCCCATCTCGTGCCACTCAAGTTCCAAAGCGGCCTTCCTGGCTCCCACTCCCACAGCCACCTCACAGCCGAGCTGCGCCATCCTGAGCAGCTTTCAGGCGCGGGCTCCCACCCAAATGCCTCCCATCAGCTCTCCTCCCATCCACTCCCTCTCTAGGCTGTCAGGAAGTGGGGTGTTTTTAAAATCTGATCCTGTCACTGTCCCGGCCAAACCTTCGACAGCTCCCCACTGAGTGGAGATGAGAGTGAGCCTGACCCTCCTAGCTCAGTCCACCTCCCCGCACCCACCCTCCCTCCACTCCAGATACGCGGACCCCCATTGCAAGCCCCAGCTCTCCCCTCCCGGGGCCACGCCCAGCACCTCCTCCAGGCCTCCGCTTCCCCATGCCTGCCGTTGGGCTGGGCTGCATGTTTACTGGAAGGCAGTCTGACTGGGGTGAGCCGCCATGGGACACGGCAGGAACGCATCTGTCTTCCCTCCTTCCAAAGTAAGGCCCCCGAAGCCTCCGTGTGGAAGACACAACTGTGCCGAGACCCTCCTTGAGCACCCAGCACCTGTGACTATGTGCACTCCAGGCCCCGGGGTGGCGAGGGTAGGAAGATGAGGCCGCGGCCCTTGGGGCAGCCCCTGCTTCTCGGGGAAGACCGACGTGTGATGTTGGGGGAGAAACAGGCAACACACCACGTGCACTGGCCGGGTGCCATGAGAAGTGCGATTCAGCAGCATCTCCCTCCGCAGCAGGGAAGGGACATCTCCCGCTGAGGAAGAAGCGGGAGGGACCCGCAGGCTGAGGCAACAGCAGGGCCCCAAAGCCGGCATGTCTGGCAGAGGGCAAGCAGCTCGGGGAAAGAGATGGGGTGTGTGCCGCCCCTGCTGCCCTGGTCCTGGTCCCCGAGCCCGGTGCCCTGCCTCCCGCCTACCTGCCGCCCACGGAGAAGTCGGACACGGCATAGAAGTAGGACTGCAGCACCTTGGGGTCCTTGAAGATGTCGTCCCCGAATGTGTTGAGCCGGTCCAGGGAGATGAGGAGCTCCGTGCTGGTGACCCACTCCTGGGCAGAGGGACAGGGCCACCGTCAGCAGGTCCCAGTCACCTTGCTGGCAGGCCTGCCTGGCCACCCTGGGGCTTCTGGGACCCAGGAATAGCCACGCCTAGATCCTGAGAGCACTGCAGAAATGGGGACCCAGCATTTTGGGGTCATACCAGCCTGGAGGCCTGGCCCCTCAATAGCCATACAGCTTTCCTTGGGGTCCTGGAGCCTCCATTTCCCCATCTGTGAGATGAGAAGAGGATGTACCTCCCCGTGATGGTGTCTGGAGGATGGCATGGGGTCTAGTGTGTGTTCAGGAAGAGGGAGAGGTGCTTGGGGGTGGGCAGGAGCAAAAGCAGCCTGGTAAGACTCTGCTGTGAGGGCCCCGACTTCCCAGCGACTCCTGCACCCTGTCCTAGGGGTCAGCTGACCTTGTCCCCCGACTGGAGTGGGGTGGGCCTAGGCTTCTGAGGCCTCATACGTGCGACAGGTCACCAGCTCTGGGTGACGTCTCTCCAACCCTCCTGAATGTGAAGCCCCCTCGCCCCTGCTGCAGTCCCACACCCCCCGGTCTGGCACGGAGCAGACACTCGATTAATCCTCGCTGATCG